GCAGAGGAAATGAGGTGAGAGAAGGAAGAGAAGCAGAGGCGCTTAGAGGGGTCTTATGGTGAAACTGCAGAGGAGGAGAGATGTTTCAGCGCTGTAATTGAAATCTAATTATCACCTCAAGTCCCAGCTGACTCCATGTTAGGCACCCGCGCACATTCATGCTTTAGCGTCACATTTGTGCGCGCGCACGCAAATGTCTGCACGTGTACGATCGTCACATTATTACCACTAACATCTGGCGTCTTCACACACCAATAATCCCCCTGTCCCGCGAGCGGTGCACGGCCTATGTGCGTACCCACTTTCCACCTTTCTGTCTGACACGCGCACGCACATAGACACGCGCATACGCACACGCACACACACAGAGAGAAAAGATCAGTTGTGGAGAATGGGATGACAAGCGCTCCTAATTTCAGATTACATCCTGATGACTGTTCTCACACATGTGCAACGTCATCACTATCACAAACTCAACGTCATAGCACACACACACACACACACACACAGACACACACATGCGTGCAGGAGAAACGCACGCCATCACACAAACACGCACAGTGCACCATTTAGGCTAAATGGCATCACATCAGATTTAGCCTGCACTGTCCTGACCTGATAATGACGGGCAGTGTATGTGTGTGTGTGTGTGTGTGTGTGTGACACAGAGACAGGAGGATGGATGGATACTGACTGGCTTTCCCTGGCCGTGGTCTCTGTAGAAGCCGCTGAGCTGTCAGCAGGTCTTCGGTCTTCACGGCCTGGAGCAGCTCCTGGTCCTTCCCCATGTCCCCTCCGTCCCGCCTAGGTCCCGCTCTCTTCCTCTGAGCGCCCCTCTCTCCTCCGTTAATCCGCTGCTACATCCTGCCGCCGCTCCCGGCCTCCCGCTGGAGCTGAGGCGCGGAGGGATGGATGCTGCCGGGAATGGGATGCTCCGATTCGGCCAAGGAGTCCAGCGCAAGTCCCTCTGCAGCTCCCCTGCACGCTAAAGCCTTCCGCGGACCCACACCGACTACAGACCGACCGACCGGACCTCGCTCTCTGTCGGGATGCTCTCCGACCGCGCGCGCAGGAACACTCGCGACAGATTCCACAGATTCTGTCAGCGTGACGATTTCACCGGGTCGACGTGCGTGCCGTGCGTGAAAACGGTGGAGCTCGAGCGCCCTCCCGTCTGTCGGGTCAAGCCCGCACAGCTCAAATCTCACGAGTCCCCAGTCCGCAGAATAACACGCACGGGTGGCTGATGTTTAACGTGCGACCGCTGTCGCCGCCGCGGTGCTGGACCAGCTCGCGCCAGATCCAGCGCGCGCGCGCACACGCGAGCGGTCACAATTACATATGGCATTACATAAACAAGTACTACACACGCACGCGTGCCACTCCAGTTGTTGTAACCCCTGAGCGATAAGGTCCCCTCCTGAGGGTCACCGGTCAGAAAGGTCATATAAACACACAGTCGCGTGCAAGAGGCGTGCTCATAGCTATGACCGGGATCGCGCGACCACACGGGACACTATAGATTAACCCAGACCCAGCAGTTTTTAAATAATAATAACTAGTCACACTCGAGCTGTGCTGGAGTTTGGAAACGTTTTCATTCATTCATTAACACAATTCCTTTCATTGTTTGACTCTATTTACAACTCTAGTGTGTGTGCGTGTGCGTGTGTGTGCGATCACAGTAAAATGTGACCTGGGAAACACCTAATAGCAGAAACTATGACTAAGATATTTAGAATGTCTTCCTTATACAGAGATTTCAGGTGTGCAGCTGGGATCAAACTGAAGGTCCTGCTCAAACATGAGCCCACCCCTGAATACTGAGGACAGGGGAAGTAGGACAGCAAGAAGAGGGAAGTGGTCTCTTCCAGCTTTATGGGTCACAAACAGAAGCGTTGCCAAGACCTTACAACAGTGGTGCCTCGACCCATCCCTGAAATCTTCTTGGATTTTCGCTCAGTAACACCTTTTTGAAGTTAGATTATAAAGTAAAATTATTATCAAATATTAGAGCTAATGGTTAAAGTCAGGGGTGCTAAGCCTAGATTATACTCCTTTGTGGACACTGACATGGACTGATTGACTCTATACTTCTTTGACATCTGCTTTAAGAACACCACATTATGATTCATGGCTGGTGTACTGTAATGTAAATCAGGAAGGCATGTGGAGCCACGTGCTAGCCATCTAACCCCTAGCAGAAAGTGTAATCCCTGCTTTAGGCTGACTTTGAGCATCAGTAGTAAAACCACAATGAAGCACTCATGTATAAGGCTGCATGTTGACACATTGATAATGTTAGTTCAGTTTTTCTTGTTGTTTCTGCTTCTGTTGTGTCATATTGAGCCCTTCCAAACCGTGTTGCCTCAGTCTGGTCTTTTCTGTGCTCACCTCTTCATCACCTTTCCTGCTCTTTTACTGTGTCATCAACCTGCTGCACTCTTCATCTCCTCTGCCCATTCCTCCTGTTCCCTCTCCTGTACTGGTTGTAAAAGCAATGCAATCATCACATGCCAATTCAATGATCCAAATATCACATTTTTGATGTGATGATTATGTATTTGCCATATTATTGATTAATATTATTCATTAATAAGATCCCGAGGCTCCAGCCGTGAAAGCCCAGGCTGATGATGTGCCTGCCCACAGACATGGGCATATCTCCAATACAGTATCTATTTATAAGCAATAAAGACAGATGGGGCTATTTTCTCACTGGTGTAACTCACAGCACTTTTAAAATCTATACAGGCCTTTGAGCATGTCCATTTTAATGCTACTGATATGAGCTGTTAATGCTTAACAAGCCTTTTATAAAAAGCTCTTTACCTTTGCATTGTTGTTGGAAGGGGTTCAACAAATAAGCTCTCCTTGCGTTTATGTGTGTCACAGCAGTGGTGGGTTTTTTTTCACATCAGCCTGTTTAAGGTTAATGAGACAAAGATAATTTGAGGATCAGGAAAGTGTGGATATGTGTGTGTGTGTGTGTGTGTCCCTGGTGCAGGGCTAATTTAGACTAAAGGGGACACTGCCAGTCAGATTTAGGACAGGAAGTGGAACAGATGACGGAAAACCTCAAAAAATCTATAATGTGCGTATGTGCACACTTTTGCACTGCATTGTGTGCACACCGCTTATCTGAACGAATGATCAGAAAGCTTTTCAGCTGAGCGTCAGCTTTATACCAGGCCGGAGTAACACCGCTAAACGCAGCACAGAGCCCAAATAAGCCGTGGGCCTTAATTCACCCACACACACAGAGTCAGTCCGGTTAAAATGAAATCACACAGACATGTAGTTAGTCATAACTAGAGGTGATCTTTGTGACTGATTCATACTAAACACTTCAGAAAAGGAATGCAAACAAAGCTTCCACTGAAACCATCGCATTGGTCCTTTAACAATCTGAAACTATTGTTTCTGAAATATGTGTCACTTTAAAACTGCAAAATAAATAAATAAAACTGCAAAAAGAAGGTCAAGTTTACAGATAAAGTAAGGTATCCTGGAGAGTGGCGTGTAAGGCTTTCTTTTTACTTGCTTTTTTAAGTTTTGCTTTCACTTGCTAATTATGTTTGTTTTGATCTATTGTTTAGATAAAAAACAAAAGTCACAGTTAATAATGAGCCTCTGAAAATGCACGAAAAGTGATTAAAACCTGCACCTCAATCGCATCTTGAGAAGTACATGTGTATCCTGTTATTACCAACTACTAAAAATAGACTCATGTCCCACTGTCATAAAGTTGAGCAGAGCACAACAAGCAAAGCGTAATATTTTTTTACACTACTGTCTCGTAATGCTCTGCACAGTGTAGCTGTTGGTGAACTGACAGGACCAAAACCTTCAATGGCTAAACCCCTCCAAAATAAAAGTCAAAAAACAGCTAAAAACTAATATATTTACACTTGTGTTTGTTTACCCTTTTTTTTTTAAAAATTCTCTAGGTTTTTGTCATGTTTATCTTCAAAGCTTACATACTTATTAGAAAGGAAGTGATTTGTATTCCTCTTCCTGTCTTTGAGTGGGCAGTAATCAAATCTTAGGTTTACATATATTTTATTTAGTATAAAAAATTATTTATTCAATATGAACAAGACAATATTACATGCATATTGTACCAGAAGACCAAAGACAGTAACTAGAATCATTTCAAGTGTTGATCAGCTGCATTAATCAATACTTTTACATTAAAAAAAGAATTATTGTGGAATCTACATAGACGGCCTATAAGTGACGAAAACAAACATTCAGTCAACTCTGCTGCTTAGTTTAGCTGCTGTAGCCGACCCCCTTGACAGCCAGGCAGGAGAAGGCCAACACAAAACCCCAACAGAAAGACAAAAAACACAAAGTCGATGCTTTTTTTTTAGATACAGGTGAGAGCAAAACTACAGAATCTAAAGTCAGCTACAGCTGGAGGAATCCTCTTTTTGTGAGATAACAGAAAAAGAGGATTCCTTCTGTAATGGGAAGATTACATCTGCAACCTCATAAAGAACCGCGGTGAAGTTAACCGATATCTGAATCGTATTAACTGCAAATTCTGTGAATTATAAACATCAATTTAGCGGTTGTTATCCGTTCCTCTGTTTCCCCCATCATCCAGAGCAAATGAACCCTTGTACCAAGATATTGAGATAATTAACCTAATGTTACCAAACATGCAACGCAAAAAAAGAAAGAGAAGGAACGAGCCAGAAACCATCACTCCAAGTGGATTTTTACAGTTGATTTACCCTCACGTTCATGAGCTGTTGACATGGCTGCTTGCTCATGCGTTCATAAGTTCAGATATCAGCTAGTGCAGCTTTAAACAGCAGCAGTTATGACATTTTCATAGGCACGACAAACTGAAATGTCACCATACAGGCAGTGGTGCAGCCTTTACATGGAAAATTGCTAGAAACTTTAGTTATATAAATAATAATTGTTGACTTCTGACAGTGCATATAAAACAACCCCCAACCCCCCCTCCCCCCAAACCCCCCCCCAAAACAACGATAACACGTGCTTTGTCAAATCTGTAAAACAATACATTATCAGAAGGTGTGCAAATAACCTCTCAACAACCAGAAACCTTCAGGTTGTCCATCTGTGCCGCAGGTCGCCTGAATTACCTCATGTAGCCATTTCTACCTCTGATGGTTACATCCTTCTACTCGCTTGTCTCTCCAATAATATCATTCATAGCAGTCACCTGCAGTGATCTTCTATTATCTCTCATTTAAAATACAAAGGATAACTTCTTTAAAAAGTAAGAAATAACATTCTTTATCCTTGTGATAGCACAACATCCTGACACAGAAACTTGGAGCACATGGGTCTATATAGGGTGAGGGTATGCCCAAAGGTAGCTTCTCACTTGCTTGTTGAGACCAGGTAATGTGCTTATCCTATCTGCTCCAAACACGCTTACAAAGGCCCTCCTGCACATCTGCTTCAGGCCCTCTGGGCGGTGAATGCGAAAGGGCACCGTCAGTTTACAGCAGGAGCTGGTGTAGTAAGTCAGCAGAGCAAAGAGTGAAGGAAAAGTCCTCTGGCTGCCAAACAGATTGAAGTGGAGCTTGTTCAGCTGGATGCGAATACTCGTCGGGCCGTCGTCGCTTTGGTAACTCAGAGTGAAGAAAACATCCGGTTGCCCGCTGTCCCTGCAACAGCACAGCGGTGTACCATCACTACACATGAGCTTGGTAAATGAGATGGACTGCATTGGTTTAGCTTTAATGGGATGAAGGGGGAAAAAAGCAGGAAAAAAAGCACAACGGTTAAAGAGAGAAATAAAGCAAAACAGCGCTGACTACCTGATGAGGAAAGTTCCAGCAGGAGCATTTTTGAGTTTTCCGTGGGCTTCTTCCATGGTCAGGGATCCCCAGTAGTAATCACTCTGCAGAAGCTGCTGGTAAGTACTTTTTACTAGTTTATACTCTGCTTCGCTGGTGAACGGACGGAGGTGTGTGGGCAAGCCATCAGAATCAGCTCCAGTCACTTCCTACAGTGGAGAAGATCAGACGTGTCCAGTCAATATGATGAAAAACGCACATAAATCAAAGTTGTTCTCTGGTGGCTGCAGGCTCTTTATTGCTGATGGTACACCAGAGATTTCACTGCCTACAGCGAACAGCTCCTAATCTGATTAAACAAAAATGAAGGCTGTGCTTTTTCTTGCCCTCGGCTTTGCCTCTAAGGCTAAATATATGTTGCCTGTGTTGCTTTTCTTTAAAAACGTGAGGCAAAGTTTTAAGCGATGAGGTCAGTGTATGCACAAGCGCTCCCCGCCAGCCTTTACGCTGCTACAAACACTCCCTCCCACAGTCTGTTTGATTCTTGCTTTTGCATGATGACATCAAGCCCCACCCACCCACTGCTCTTTTGTTTTTGAGGAGCAGTCAATTAGAAGAAAGCTGGCTTAAAGAGGGGGTGGCCTTAAAGGGGGAGGAGCTACAGCAGCTTGTTTCAGATCAGTGATGAACTGAAAGGCTTAACTGTGAATAAAGCACAAAACACTATGGTCCATTAATAAAAGAAACCATTGAAAGTTAAAATAAGCATAACAGTTTACTTTAAACGAAACTTAAATGACGGCTGTCAAGTATTTTTAGAACAAATTATTGCACATCGGTCACAAATGAGGTATCAGAAGGAAACTGAAACTTACAAAAAATGTGATTTGTAAGGTTTGTGGTGCAACTATACAGCCACTTAGAGAAAAAAAAACATTTCAAAGAATTTTAAAATCTTGCTCATCACGTGAACTTGTGACTCTGGGTCTTATGTAATAAACAAAAAATGTACAGCAAGGAATGTTGCTGGAAACTTTCCAAATGGCTGAAACCACCATACCACAAAGGGTTCTTTCACTTTCTCAGCGTGAACTAAATGCTTGGGTCATTTACTAGAAACTTTATCAGTTCACTTCACATGTTAATTTCCATAAGCGCCACTTGTAATGTTTTGCTCTGACACAAGATGCACTCTGTGGGCGATAACATTGTAAGACCACTACCAACGCCATAATGGTGCTGTAAATCCTTGGCACATGAGGGGGAGGCAGGCTCAGGTTCAAAGTCCAATGATAAAGCCAGGCAGGCTTCCAAACACTTTCCTTGTAACAACAATTTTCTGTCATTTTGTTTACCGACCTGGTCTGAGCGTCCGAGTTTATTACCGCTACGCTCCAGCAATATGGTTTATTTTCCTCAATAAATTTATCAGGTTTTATTTTGACAGCAGTTAAAAACAAACGTTTGTGGGTCACTTGTAGTTTCATATTATATTAGTATCCATCACACTGTTTGATAATGTAAAACAAACACCGTTGAATTTTTCAATCGCATTATTATTTAGTTTCGCTTTTAGCCAAACTTAAATGAAAAAGAAACTGATTTAAAAATATACTTCTGCACGACATTGCCTGAAAGTACACACTCAAGTACTTGTTCTGTACATCTGAAAATCTTTAGAAATGCATTCAATTTTACTCACTTTGAGGGAAACTGCTGTTTCCTCCACTGTATCTGTTTGATAACAGTAGCTACTAGTTTTGATCTATATAAACGTATAATTGACAAATGAGCTGTGATCGACATTTAGGACAGTTCCCAGCAGTGTGTAAAGTAGTTAAAAAGCTGCAACATTAAAGTTGTGCCCATGCATTAGTGCACACATGTTAGTGATTGAATAATCAGTAAAGACATAAAACGTGGTATTCTGCCTGCTGAGTGCTTTTAAGATTTAAACTATCTATCTATCACCAAAAACATCATGAGTAAAATCAGCAGTGAGTGATCGCGAACACTAACCCAGAGCTCAGCGTCTTCCTCATAGTTGTTTTTGACCCAGTGCAGTAAATCCAGCTGCCGCTCTCTCGACTCCGCTCTGTTTGGGCTCTGTTCCCGGTGTTCTTCAGAGGGCTCACTCGGGCTCTGTGGTTCGGCTGCGTGGCTCTGTTTTGGGCTTTGTACTACCACTTTATTGCAATTGTCTCTGACCATCCTACAAAGAACAATCCTCCTCTTGACCACCTGTTGCACCAGTTACTCCGTTTTTCACTGGCAGATCCTCCATCATTCACTTCTTCCCGGCTGGTCATCTGTTGCTCAGTCCACTTTGAGACGCCATGCTGCAGAGAGTTTATATTGTAACTTTAATCCTCAGCTTTTCACAAACACTTAACATCGCATTAATCACATTGTCATTTCTGGTGTACATGTTTTATGCCTCCTGATGAGCGCACAGCTGATGTTTGAAACACATCCCTGGCTTTATATAGCGTAACGCACACTGTCATGGCACACGCTCCCAGCATGGGCGCCCAATCCAGACTTAAAGGGTGTGCAGCTGACAGTAAACCACATGTTTGTGTGTTACAAACCACCAGTAAGGGCAGCTACAACACAACTGATGACAGAAGAACACTTTCACTTTCTCAATCAAGCGAGACTAAAGAGGTGTATAAAAAGACTTAATTTCCTCTGAAGTGTGAGGTAAGCAGATTAGTGGGGACATTTTCTGCTTTTCATTTAAAAATCTGTACAGGACGGTTAAAATGTTTTCATTGCTTTTGTTTTGTGTTTCAAATTTAAGATAAGCAAATAAAAAAATTACATTACAATAAAGAATAAAATGCAAATACCTGATGCTGATCAATACTTTATAAGGAGTACAGTGTGTACCAAGCAGTGAGTAGAGAATGTATATATTTTAACAGTTCAAATTAATTTTATTTTCCCTTTTTTTATTGTCAATGTTTATAAATATTACACTGAGTTATAATAACTTCATTTTTTCTAATGTCAGTGTTTGCAATGAGCTTACAGCTGCTTTTTATCAGCTAACATAACAGTTTTGTCTCACAATGACGTAAACGTCTGTTATTATCTCTCTCTCTCTCTCTCACACACACACACACACACACACAGACATATTATATATATATCTATATATATTTAAAAGAACCAGTGACAACGATTTTAAGGTTTTAATTCATAGGTTCACACACCCACAGATATTAAGCAGTGGAGCAGGGCAATGACACAGCGTTACTTTAGCCCAAGAGGAGAGCATTTATGACCCACACATTAAATCAGAGACACTGTGGCATTTCACACAGAGGGTGCTGGAGCTCGGAAATAACAGTAAAACCAGCAGGACGAGTTAAAACTGAAAAAGAGCTGCGAAAGTGTTTAGAAAAAGCTCAAATGTGGCCAAACATCCTCCACAGATTAAGCTGCAAAATTCTGTGCTATACAACAGATTTACTTAAGGTGGGGGGATTTTTGAAGGTGGAGTTCAGCTACCTCCGTGACGCTGATGTGTTTTAAAGAAATTGGAAAAGCTTGTCACAAGTTCCCACACTTAATGAGAAAATGACACTTTTTCAGCTTTCTTGGATTCCTTCAACAGCGGTCCGCCTCAAGCTTCAGCGACAATGTGAGCTAAAGGAATAATTAAGCCTACTTACGTGTGGCAGCAGTGAGCTACAGTCGGCTTCTCGCCCCCAGAAAGTCGCAACTCGTTTGATAAAAAAGATGATTTCGTTTTCAGAGAACGTACGCGCTCCTTCTTTCGCTCAAACGCGCATGCGCGCTTCAAACCGTTGATTCAGGTGTTCGCGACCACACTTTCGCTTTCACTTCAGCTCGCAGATTCCTTGAAATCATGTGATCTCACAGCAGAGCCCGCGTGTGTGTGTGTGTGTGTGCGTGCGTGTGTAGCGAGTACGCACACTGAATTTGAGATTGGTTTGAATGCAAATAACTATATTTATTTAAGAATGTTACAGCTGCATGAAAAATACACAAATATCGATTATAAAACAAACATCTGCATCACGGATGGGTTGATGGTTTTACTACTACAGCGCTGTTTGCTTTAAAAAATGTTTTTTGTGGACATATTTCAGTTTATATACAAGTTTAGTTTATATTTATAACAAAATGAAAGAAAGGCTCACACATACCTGTGGACATCATGCTTTGCAAATCCCGGTGGTGTAAAGTAAGTGTAAACCTCAGTGATGCAGCAGCAAGAGCAGCAGAAGCAGCACAGGTGCCTGCGTGTAAGATCTCAGGTAAGAATATTGTTTCCTTTTTGTTCTGTCAGCTTAACGTAACAATGCTTAACTATGCTTAAGCGCATAGTCAAAGGGCTGCAATTATTTCCATGTCATGTCAAGCATGTCAATAGACCGCAGGTTAACCGACAACTTCGTCAATCAACCTGCAGCCAAGAATTCAAAAAGGATTACAAGCAAAGTAATGAACGTGAATGCATTCATGAATCAAACTGTAAAAAAATGTGCAGCCATTCTTCTTATTTTATATTTCTTATGGAGAAAAACACGCTGCTTTAAGGGTAATAAACGGATAAGAAAATTACGGATTTTGTTGCAGTTTCTGCAGCAGCAGACAGATTGTTCATTATATCAATGAATAATGATCAGACAAGCACGGACAAAGCATTTATTAACACTCTGTAACTTGCAGCTGACACATTTGAAGGTGCAGTACCCCTCACATCACAGAGAAAACGCATGACTGCAAGACGTTAGCCTCTCAGGCCGTGGAGGTGGATGTCTGGTTTTCTTCTTTCTTCTGTCTAAGCATCAAGTAGGCAGCTGCCGTTACTGCAAAGATCCCATAAGTAGCCAATACACACTGCAGAGAAGAGAAGGAAACATTTGGGATTGTGAGGAGTCGGCATGCCAGTGTGTAATATCTCTATAAAGATGTGTGTGTGTGTGTGTATAAAAGTGTGTGCTGGTTAAGTACATTTCTGCGACCCTGCAGAGTGTAGCTATTAAAGTATTTCCTCCAACCCGTCAGTTCCACAGAAGAAGGGGCCTCAATGCCAAACAGCTGTCTCTAAAACACAGAGCACACAGAAACAGTAAGAGGAAGCGCTGAGATCAGATCTGTGATATTTTTTGACACATTTCCAAGACGTTTTAAAAAAAACGTGCATTGAAAGATATAAAATAAAAGATGAAGAAAACAGAAAATAAAAGCTAGCAAACAAACACATACAATAGAAGCACATGATGAATGCCCTCAGAATTATGCAAACCCAGTCAGAATGAATGTGAAAGCACCAGATTAAATGATGAGAAGACTTATGGAAAATAAACAAAAGAAAAACCAATAACAAAGCTTGAGTAAGCGCACTCTGCGTTTTTTAATTAAGGAATTATTATTGTGTTTTTTCATGGAATCTAATCTAATCTAATAAATGCTGCAATATGAAAACTTTATGAAGAAATTAAGCAATTTATTTTAGAAATAGATGATGTGGAACGTGCATACCTTTGCATGTAGAGACACGTTTTTCTGTGAGTAGCGTGATAAAGCAACAGTAGGATTGCACACTTGTTACCAGTAATTGAGATCACACCCAGCATACCGTCTGAATTTGATGAAGCTGATTTGGTCGTGAACCTGTACTACGTGACCCTAGCTCAGCTTCCACAGCCATTAGCATTAAACTCTGTAGCAACATCCTAAGCGTTTTCCCTTAATAAACAAGCTAATAACATTTCTCAAGTCTACAAATTTCACATTTTTTTAACTGCTACTTTTTTGTCTGCTGAGCAGTGGAAAAAAAAAAGGTGGTTGCTCTGGGTGAAAATTGGGCCTGTAGGTAAAGTGGGTTATTTTAGGATCTTAGCATCTCATCTCTTTAAAGGTTAACAGCTGGTGACTGACTGCAAGGCATTTTAAACTGGTGCTAAAACACTACCTGATATTTAGCATTTGATCTTATTTGGTCTGAGGTTGCTAAGGGGAACACCTCGTTTTGAAGCTGTCAAATGACAAGTGAACGAACATATGAAATCTTACTTGTTAATAAGGTTAATAAATCAATAACAAGCAAAGAGACATCTCTAAATTTACAACCCTTGTTATGATGATCTTTCTCGGATAAAATTTTGTAAAATGAAGAGAAATCTCTTTACCTCCTGGCCCAGTTTACCGTAATGTATTAGATCAATTGGGTCATTCATTTCAGTTAAAGTGGGACACCCTTTGAACCGATTTTTGAAATGTATTGTGATGATTCCTTTTATTAAAATGATTTATATTGTTAATATATTTGATTGCTGCATGTGTCACATGCCTTTTTTTTCCCCTATTGAGTTTTTTTGACCAATCGTGTCAGTGTATGCTAGTGGGCACAAATACACAGGAGCTCAGGTTCACTAAATAAGAAATGAAAAGGAGAGGGTGAAAGAGGCATGCTCATAAAGACGAGATGGTGCAGAAGTGGGGTCAAGTTAAAACATTCGTTTCACACACCAGATTGAAAACAATGGCAAGAGTGAAAGGGAAAGCAAGAAAGGGAAAGGAAGGTTTACAAGACGGGATGTGAGATCTACTGTGAACTATGGTTTGGAGATGGTAAGACCCACAAAAAAAACAGGAAGCCAAGCTAAAGATAAGATTTTTCACTGGGATCGACAAGAATGGACATTATATAGACATTATATGGACATTGGACCTTATAAATGAGCATATCAGAGGAACAGCTCAGGTCGAGCGGTTTGGAGACATAACTATAGAGGCAAGGTTGAGATGGTTTGGACATTTGCAGAGGAAGCACAGAGGATATCAGGGGTGTTTAAATGATTTTAAAAAATTGGATGGCAAATGGGGGAGGGAAGCAAGTTCAAGCTCATATGCAGCCCTGAGTCCTAATGCAGAGTTATTATGTGAAAAGCGGACCTGAATAACAATTTAAACATAATCTTGTTGACTTTTGAGGGTAAAAAAGTAATTAGACGTTTTACTTAAGTAAAAGTTATAATCATTCACATATGTAATGACACTTGAGTAATATACATGATGTTACAGGAATATAATTATTGATTATAACACACACACA